CATTTTTTTCCCCCCGAAGTCTCATTTATCACAAATGCTAAGGAAAATGATTCCTAAAGAATCAACTCTCTTGGGATTAGCCGAGTTGGGGAGCTCGGCAATGTAAGAATTCATCAGCTGTCTCCTCTAGGAGATGCTGAACCATGTGACAGGCCTCATACAGGGGAGTTCGGGATGAACTGGGCTAATCAGGAAGGCTTCCTGGAGGAGGCGTGATATTTGTAAAACATCTTCCATTGAGATTGTGAGCCAGGGATGGCCATAGTTCATTGTTACAGTGATGTTGGGGTCAAATCTGGTCACCCAAATCTTAAGATCCTGCCTGAGAGATTAGTCTTTCTTTTTATTATCCAGAAACCTGAAGGAACAAGATTATCAGTGATGGAGTCAGGGCATCTTGGTAACAGAAACAGAAAGATCATGGTCTGGGAGCTGAGAGGCTGGTTGTGCTCTTCATCATGTGTCACTGTGGGGTTGTGGGCTCTTCTCTGGGGCTCTCAGGCACTACGTGTGTGAAATAAAGACAGTAGAATGGATTGTCTCTCGGGTCCCTCCTTCGGAACTCAGAGGTTTTGAATGTTTCCCATTGTGTGATGTGTCCTCACGAGACACGGGTATCACCAACCAAGCAGTAAGTGTTGTGTCCAGGCAATGAAGCAGTTAATTAGGAGGAAAGAAGCTTGGCAAAGGGAGCAATTGGCTGGGGTAAGCTGGCCACGGTAGGCTTCCTGGGAGAGGTGACTTTGAGCTGGGCCCTGAATAGAAGCAAGGTTTTGTTAGATAACAGATGATCATAGGAGAGGAAGTGGTCCAGCAAAGGCTAAAGGAAAGACAGCCCACCAGGTTTTCTAGAAACAGTGAAGAGTCAGCAGGAGTGGGAGCAAGGCCAAGGCCACTGGGTGTTCTGGGCCTCTGCTTTACATGAGCATCACTTTGCCTGGCTACTGGGCTCAGAGCTCCTCTAGGGAACAGGGGCCACATTGTCTCCTCTGCATTCCCAGATCCTAGCACAGGGACTGACAGGGAGCAGCACATAACAAATACTCATTTAATAACAGAGGGATTTCTCTGTGTCCCCAATATCTAGCTGCGTTTCACCAGATAACTTTGAATGAACAAATGGACAAAAGCTGAATTCTTCTAACATTTCACAACGTCTACTCAAGAGAATCAAAGGGCATAGCCTTTGAAGTTTGTGGCTCCTGGATATCCTACATGATTTTGGGAACAAGTTTCTGGTAGTCAGCCTTCAAGCCATTTTTGGATCCTGAGGACTTTAAGACCAAGCGCTTTATATAGAGTGCATATATATGTATATATATGCATGTATGAATTATTATTTATTTCTTTCTCTGGTTTTAATTGTTGCTGAGCTCATGCTTTAATTAATGTTTTAATTTAGTGCATGCACCATGAGGCACTTTCTTGGAGAGTATAACTAAGTTAGAAAAAAATGGGCTGCTCTGGCATCAGGGACTGCGAAACCAAGGCTCTGCAAGGGCGGATTTTGCCATTAAGAAAATTAGGGATGAATTTGGGAGATGAATATGGAGCACCTACTATGTGTCAAGCAGTCAAGCACAGCTACGTGTGATGTGTACCACAATGTTATGTAGTTCCATTTTAGACTCTCAGCAACCCCACAAAGTATAGATGAAGAAAGTAAGACTCAGAGATTTAGTAACCTCTTCAGATTCCAGCAAACTATAAAAGGGAGAGTCAAAATGTGAGCCCACATCAGTTTGTTCTTTAACCTTTGGTTTGTTTTACCGGACTGTACTTCGTTATTTGAGGTTACAGAGAAAATATTAGGCAGTCACACGGGTGCTGGGCACAGGAATGCTTTAACCAATCTAAGGAAGAAGAGGCTCTAAAGCTTTCAATAGACTTATTTAATCTCTCTGGTGACATTTGAAGTCACGTCAGTCATGAATATCTATCTATCTATCTATGAATACATATATTCATAAATATTTTGAGACAGGGTCTGACTTTGTTGTACAGGCTGGAGTGTGATAGCACAATCATGGCTCACTGCAGCCTCAACCTCTTGGGCTCAAGCGATCCTCCCGCCTCAGCCTCTCAAAGTGCTGGAATTACATGGTGCGAGTCACCATGCCTGGCCAATATTTGCTAAATGAATGAATGAGCAAATAAATGCTCAGGAAATGCTATTTCCAACCTCCATTCCTTTTTGTAAACTGTAAAGTGAAACAGATGGTCCATTATAGCAGAAACAACAGATACTGTGCGCACTTGACAAATGAAGAGCCTGAGAACTAGAGAGTGCAATACTCATCTCTTATACTGTACAGTGTTTTTCAGTGGACCGAGGCCTTCCATCATGTTTCATTCATTCAAGGCATGTGCTGAGTGTCTAGTGTGGCCTTGGCCTTCCACAGTCGAATCTTGTGACCTGCCTGATGGGTTGAGAGCACATGTTGTATTATGCCCATTTCTCAGGAGCGGGGAAATGCCTCAGGTAATTGTATGGGCAAACTCATTGAGCTTCTAATGCTGCATTCATACTTTTTCCCTCAATTGACCTACTTCAGGTTCTGTCCCTCATATTGGTCTGTCTGGAGAGCCACTCCTTAGAAATTTCCTAGGCTTGATGTTTGCCTGGAAGGCAGGGGAGAAGCTGTGAGTGGGAGAGGAGACTGGGACTATAAATGTCTTGCTTCCTGCAGTATTCTCCGCACGTGCATGGTGTCTGTGACATGGAGTGTGTTTGATAAATACACTTCCTGCTTAATCTTCCTCCTCCACCGGTGGCTGCCATCTACTCAGGATAATGTCCAAACACTTGGCATGCCTTATAGGGCCAGGAATGCAAGTGTATAGCTGAGAGGGCATCCTCACTTCTTGCATTCAATTTTCCCTCCAGGCCTTCCCTGGTACCCTCAGACTGGGCTGTAAAACACCAAGTAAAAAAAATCATGGTCTGTTTTTTCCTCCATGTTCCCAGGAGATTCGGGATTCGTTAATGGTAAGGCCATCTCTTTCACCTCTTTACCTCCAACACCCACAGCAGGGCCAGGTGTGTAGTAGAACCACAATAAATGTCTGTGAAAGAAGTGGTGGAAGGAAGCTCGCCCACTCCGGGAGGCGGTGTGGACTGGAGTGTGTTCCTGTCACTCATTTGCGTTGCCTGGTGCTGGGCCCTCCCCGTGGTGGTGACTGCCCTCTGCTGCACCTTCCAAAGCGTGCCACGCTGCAGGTCTGCAGCTGCGTGTCTGGCATGAGCTTGCATCCATCGCTGCCATTTTTGAGCACCGAAGCCATTTAATTAAATGGGATGGAATTGAATCTGCGAGGTTGTTACCGCCGATACTGTTTTCCGCGCAGGGCTGTTCTGCAAGGGAATCCACGGAGGCCTGGGTGTGAGCTCCTTGCTCATTCTGGGCCTACTCCCCACCCCCAGCCCAGATGTCATGAGGGGGTGGCTGAGATTCTGGGCACAGATCTGAAGTCAGAGGTTCAAATCCCCTGCATGTGCGTGTCCCCGTGGGTGGGTCACGAGCTGCTGACAGACGCGTGCCTTTCCCCAGGAGGCAGCTAGAGCTGCTTAAGCTAATTTTGCTGAGGGGAACCTTGCCAAGCCAGAGGGAGCTTTCATTTGCCTAAGTTTGCATCAATAATTAATCCAACCTGGTTTTACACAAGACTCAACATAAAATTATTAGCTCTGAAAGCTTTCCTTGAGCTGGTCCCAGAAGAGGACTATCATAAGCCTAGGAATTGATGACCTAGTGAGGCTGCATAGGTGGCTCAGAAAGTTGTTTTCTCCTTCGCCATTTCAAGCTCCCTCCACGGCTCCATCCAGGCCTCCGCCATTGGTGGCTGTAACCTTCTGAAGTGCAAGGTCATTTTCCTGCTCAGAAACCTTCCGTGGCTTTCCACTGTGCCCCTAAACTAACACCAATTTCCACTGGATTTTCCTTTATTTCCTACTTTCCCTCTCACAATTCCCCTCCATTCTCTCAATATTGTCAGACTGCCTCAGCTCCCTGTCCATCATCGCCTTGGCTCATGCTCTCTGTACCACATTTCTGTGGGTTGAACTCTTATTCATCCTTCAAGGCTGAACTGCAATGCCGCCTCATCTAGGAAGCCTTTTATGATTTCTTCAGTAAGTATCATCTTCTTTATTCTACCATCCAGAGATTTCTATTTTCGAAGGTACCAGTTTCTCTTACATGACAGCATTTATATACATGTCTTCATCCCAAGTGAGTGGGTAGGTAGCAATAATTAATAAAGAAATACCCTCTAGATGTTGGGCAAGGGAAGGGGAAAAAACTGCAAAGGGAAGCTCTAACCAAGGGAAGGGGACAGTTCTACACTTACTGTTTCTTTCCCTGGATTGGATTCTCAATCTTATTTCCAAATTGAGCTAACAGCCCCATTAGCTTCTGTTATGTGAGCTGGAAACCCCGTCTTTTGTGAGCGTTTTTTTTTCCTCCATCCAAATGTTTACTAAGTCTTGTCATTTATCTTTGGGAATATCTCTCAAATCTACCTACAGTCCCTTTGTTATGGCAGCAGCCCTCAAAATCTCTTGGAGGAAAGAGCTTCTGGCCTGTATTTCTGCCTGGGGTCTTTACCAACCCAGTCTTTTCCCAGTACTCCTGCAAGAGTCTTGTTCTCCTTCTCACAAACCTCCCTAAGTTGGGCCTAAGGTCAGAGCCTTACCTCTCCAGTCAGGCATTCACAGCCTTATTCCTCACCACTCCCCAGCCTACACCAGCGCCATTGGACTTCCCCTCATGGCTCAAACACACCCTGCCCTTTGAGACTTTCCTACACTTCTCCTGTTGAGAAGGTTCTTCCAGCTCCCTTACTCTTTCAACCCTCAAGGCCCAACTCAAAATTGTCCTCTCCTATGAAGTCAACCCTGTTTCTTCTTTTGAAATGTTAGGGGACCTCCTCTTTGCTTCAACAGCACTTTGCTTGCACCTTGATGATAACAGTAGTCCTATCGTATGATGTACAGTTGACCCTGGAACAACACAGGTCTGAACTGCCTGGGTCCACTTCGATAACAGATTTTCTTCTACCTCTGCCACCTGTGAGACAGCAAGATCAGCCCCTTCACTTCCTCATCCTCCTCAGCCCATTCAACATGAAGACGATGAGGATGAAGATCTTTATGATGATCTCCTTCCACTTAATGAATAGTAAATATATTTTCTCTTCCTTATGGTTTACTTAGTAACATTTTCTCTCTAGCTTACTTTATTGTAAGAGTACAGTATATAGTACATGTAACATAGAAAATGGACTGGACACAGTGGCTCACGCTGGTCATGCCAGGACTTTGGAAGGCTGAGGCAGGTGGAACTCCCCTGAGATCAGGAGTTTGTGACCAGCCTAACCAACATGGTGAAACCCCATCTCTACTAAAAATACCAAAAATAGCTGGTGTGGTGGCATGAGCCTGTAGTCCCAGCTACTTGGGAGCCTGAGGGACAAGAATTACTTGAATCCCGGAGGCACAGGTTGCAGTGAGCTGAGATCGCACCATTGCACTCCAGCCTGGGCAACAAGAGTGAAACTCAGTCTCAAAAACAAACAAACAAAAATGTGCTGGGCACGGTGGCTCACACTTGTAATCCCAGCACTTTGGGAAGCCATGGTGGGCGGATCACTTGAGATTGGGAGTTCAAGATCAGCCTAATCAACATGGAGAAAGTCCATCTCTACTAAAAAAATACAAAATTATCTGGGTGTAGCAGCACATGCCTATAATCCCAGCTACTTGGGAGGCTGAGGCAGGAGAATTGTTTGAACCTAGGAGGCAGAGGTTGCAGTGAGCCGAGATCATGCCATTGCACTCCAGCCTGAGTAATGAGCAAAACTCCATTAAAAAAAATAAATAAAATGAAAAAATAAACAAAAATGTGTTAATCTACTGTTTATGTTGTTGGTAAGACTTCTGGTTTAACAGTAGTTAAGTTTTGGGAAAGTCAAAAGTTATGTATGAATTTCCAGCTGCACAGGGCCAGTGCATTGTTTAAGGGTAGACTGCATTGTGTACATTTGCATTGTTTAGGGGTTGACTATATCTTTCCTTCATGCATTTGCCCCCTGAACTCTGATTCCTTTGAAGGCAGTGATCATATTTTCTTTGTTTCTATATTCCCTTCTGCAAAGGTTTAGCCCACAGCAGATGCCCATTAAATATCTGTTGAATTGCTACATAAATATTAGAGAAGTTGGAAATTAGAGAAGGCAGTCTTATAATCTATTGGGTGAGAAGATATCTGCTATGGTTATCATCATTGTCTTAGTTGCTATTATTTCTCACCTGTCAAATAACACATATACTCTGCCCACCTGGCTCAGGTGCTCAGGCAAGTTCATATTTCAGATATCCTGTTTTTCAGTCCCTGGAAGAACATTTAGATTTCTCAGATCAGGTGCCCCAATATTTTGTTTTTAATGAAAGTTTCTTCAAAAACACATTAAATGCCTACTGTATCCTCAGCCCTGCTTAGGTGCTGGGAAGGGTACCTGAGCCGCATGTCTCTTGCATGGGAAAGTGTTCACCATCTGCTTACGGGATGGGACAAATAGATGAGTGTAAGGCAGAGTGTGCCTGATAATGACATTTCTGATCATAAAATTGGTCATCAAAAGCCAGCCTCTACAGTAATAGAGCTACAACTGTGCTTGTGCTCTTCTTTTTAGCTAGTTAGCCAGTGCTAACAAGTTATTTTGTTTTTATTTTGAGACAGAGTCTTGCTCTGTTGCCTGCCCAGGTTGAAGTGCAGTGAGGTGATCTTGGCTCACTGCCACCTCCGCCTCTCGGGTCCAAGTGATTCTCTTGCCTCAGCCTCCCGAGTAGCTGAGACTACAGGCGCCTGCCACTCTACCAGACTAATTTTTTTGTATTTTAGTAAAGATGGGGTTTTGCCATGTTGCCCAGGCTGGTCTTGAACTCCTGAGCTCAGGCAATCTGCCCGCCGCGGCCTCCCAAAGCGCTAGGATTACAGGCATGAGCCACCATGCCCCACCTGCAAGGAGGCTTTAAAGTGGGAGAATTAAACCATTCTGTTTAGAAAGGCATCACTGAGGTGTAGTTTGTTGAGCAAGATGGATCGAAAGTGTCTGTGTTTTGTTTGCCGGTTGACCAGCATACCTTTTCACCAGGACAGGTTTATTTTTTTCTTTTTGCTTCCACTCCTCATACAATACCAACTGCCTTCTCTTTTCTTTCCAATAAATCTCCTTTTGTTTCTCTTGAGATTCTCCTGCCAGCCTGTCAGGAACTCTGTACAAAATGGTGTATTTCTGTCAAGAGTTCCCTGTGAAGTGTTAACTGTCTTTTGATCGCAGGAGGCAGCTGAAATGGTGTGCAGGGACACTCTTGTCCCAATGCCTGTTTACTTCCTTTCTGGCAAGCTCTGAGCCTGCTGATCCAGCTGCAGACATGGAGAGGGGGCCCATGGTCCTGCTCAGCTCCCAAAGGCTCCCCCAGAAACAGCCTTGGAGATGAGAGGGTGCCTGAGGTCTCACAGCTGATGGGGAAGCAGGACCTTCTGTGACCCCTGTGAATAATATTCCTATCTCAGACATAGAGCAGCACCATGCAAATGCTTGAAAATGAGGCGAAATGCTTCAGCTAGCCTGCTATGTGTCTTCAGGCTAGGTACCGTCCCTCCGTGTTTTTAGTTTCCCCATCTATATGAAAGTGAGAGTACATGGTCCCTAGGGTGCCTTCCAGCTCTGTCATTCTATCATTTCACAAATCTGCAGCAGATAAAACTTGTTGAAATGTGATTCTCTCTTGGGGATCCAAAGTCAATAGAAAAAGAATGGTCTAGGAGGTAATTGAAAGACCCAGGAGGGATATTCGTTCAAGGCCATAGAAATAACAATAATAATAAAATCTAGGATCAAAGTGCTTTTCCATCTCTCATCTCATTTGATCTTCCCAACAGCCCTATGGGGAGAGAGTCAGATAGATACACAAAACTTTTCAGTGGACCATCAGAGCCACTGTGTGCAGATGTTCAGGTTGTGCACTGCACAAGTGTGGCACATCTGAGGAAACACCTTTCAAATTAGAAATATAGACTAACTTACATGAGATAGTGTACACAGTCATGGAGAAGTCACACCTTCTAGCTGGCATACAGGGCTATGCATACACCCAGGGGATTCAATTGTACAACACGCTCAGTGGTAAACCCACATGCGCATGGCTGCCCTGTCCCGAACACACTTTGGATGACTTCTGAGCTGACCTGCCTATTGCTCTTGGCGACCTGATTCCACCTTCCCTCTCTCTGAATCTGACACCATTGCTTCATCTGAGGGGTGAGACTGGAGTCTCAGAGGGTGTGTTCTGAAAATGGTGTGTGTCCCTGTGCTGGGCAAATGTGGGAGTGGACAAGGTGTGGGGTCAATGGGGTTTGGCCACTGACCTCTGACAACCTCCCCAGAGGAGAGTTAGGCCAAACCAAGGGGGTACATCCACACAGCAGCAGCACCGCATGATTCCTGTGGCACACATACACCCTGGCCACCCATTTGAAAAGAAGCTGGAGATACTGAATGTCTGTGCTGGTGAATTTTAGCTGATGGAACAGACTAAAGTGAGGGTTAGAACTTCCCCCACTGCCCGATCCCCTCACTTCCCCTCTTCCACCTTCTCCTTTACATAAGGGCCATGCCAGGGACACTAACATAGCCGGAGGGACCATCTGCCCACATCCCTGCTCTGCCAAAGCCAGACCACTTAGGGATATGCAGGTTAATATACCAACTTTAAAAAATGTTGCTGGAGCTAGGGCATCTTTTCTTGATGTGCACAAAGGTGTGGTATATAGGCTAGCTGTGGACATGTGGACCGAGGTGAGTGCACGGGGCTCTCTGTGGGCTGTGATTTTGCTGCAATATCACAGGCATCTTCCCAAGATACCTTTGATACAGGTTGGATCATGCCACTTCCTTCCTCACACACTTTCAGTGGCGCCCCGTTTCTGTGACAGAGCTTTGTAATAATGGAGGATAAAAGGCACATGCCAGAATTACACGGGGCACAGGATCAAAGTCGTATTTCTAAATTTCACCCCAGATATAAACTGTTGGAAGTAATGTGGAGTGAGGAGCGAGGAGGGAGGTGGAGAGGGAAGGTATATGGATTTTAAAAGGTCTTTCCGGGGATCTGACACACCAGCCTGGCTAAGAAACACCACGTTGAAGGATACTACTTAGACCTTGCCGTGGTTTTCTAGGACTAGTCCTAACCTAATTTTCCAGCTTCCTGTCCTGCCAGGCTCCACCACACACCCATATTTCAGGCCACTCAGTTGAAATCCCGAGTGTTATTATCTGGATACTACAGTCTAGATGCCATCTCCTTTGCGAAGCCCTCTGTGATTCTTAGTGCAAATGGCTCCCTTCTTCCTTTGTGCTCCTACATCCTAACTGGGTGGGGGATGAGATGTGGGTACATCAGGGGTGCAGACAATATCACCACACTGCTCCATCCAGTAAATCCATGGCTTTAGTATTTTTTTTTTCAGGAAGGAAAAGGAAAGAGATGATGGATATGCACATGTTGTGTGTTTGTGTGGCTGTGTTCCTGTGTGTGTGTGTGTGTGTGTGTGTGTGTGTGTGTGTGTGTGGCTAGGTGTCTGACTGTGAGGGAGGAGAAGGGAAGAGAAGAATGACAGGAGTCAGTGGCCTCTGTGCCCTGCTGTCAGCAGAAGCAATATTTTGGGTATTGATGGAGGGATGTCAGTTGGAGCAGAGAGGCTGGATCCTGCCTGTATGAGACCTCAGGGCAGATGCAGCCCTGTCCAGGGCACAGTGAGACCTAGAGGTGCGAAAGGATGTCTCCTGCCCTTACCCTCTCAGCCCCAGACACCCGGTGCACCTTGGCCCCTGAGCAGAGTTGGCCACTGCTGCTAGAGCCGTGGCCTCTGGAAGCACCAGCGGTGGTGGTGAGGTGCCTCAAGGAGAGGAGTCCAGAGCAAAAAGTCCACCAGAATTCTTCCCAAGTGCTCATATTTGAGGAGGGCCAGAGCCCCAGTGGGAGAGCTATGGCTGAGAGCCAGGGTGCGTCTGGCTTTCCTGCTGGGGAGCTTCTGGCTGGAAAGGCCAGGAGTTTAGAGTGTTAGAGGTATCCAAGGGTGTCCATAGTAGCTTCCTAGGGCTTCCATAGCAAACTACCACAAGCGGGACAGCTAAAACAACAGGAATTTACTCCTTCATAGCTCTAGAGGCCAGAAGTCCAAAATCTAGGTGTTGGCAGCCCCACGCCCTCTCAAAGGTTCTGGAGGAGAATCTGCTCCATGCCTTTCTCTTAGCTTCTGATGTCCCCGCCAATCCTTGGTGTTTTTTGGCTCGTAGCTGCGTCACTTGGAGCTCTGCCTCTGTTGCCATGTGGCGTTCTTCTCCCTGGGTGTTTCTGTCCACACACAGCATTCTCTTTCCCGTGCCTCTCTTACCTCTTCTTATAAGGACATAATCATATTAAATTAAGGGCCCGCCTTTCTCCAGTATGATCTCAACTAATTACGTAGATAACAATGGTAACACCTCTGTTTCCGAACAAGTTCACCTTCTGAGGTGCCAGAGGTTAGGACTTCAACAAATCTCTTTGGAGGTACAACTTACCCCATAATGGGGCTGCAGTAGTGCTGCCAAGGCCTATACTTGAGGAGCTTGGATTCAGGCCAATATATCGGTGGCTGTCCTCTAGGTCTACCGTGATTGCTCTTTCTACTGCTACTGTTACTACTGCTTCTAGGTAATACGACAGCAGTCCACCGGTATCTGTGGGGCATATGTTCCCGGATGGCAGCAGGTATCTGAAACTATGAATGGTACTCTGTATACCCTATGTTTTTTCCTATATATTCATGCCTACGATAAAGCTGACTTTATAAGTTAGCACGGTAAGAGACGAACAACAATTACTAACAATAAAATAGAAAAGCTAACAATATACTGTAATGCAAGTTATGTGAATGTGGTCTCTCTCAAGACATCTGTTTTACTTTCCAGTGGGTAACAAACTGCAGGAAGTGGAACCACAAATAAGGGGAGGACTGCAGTCAATGAGCATTTACTATAAGCCAAACCCCATTCCGTTCGCTTTGCTGTGCTGCTGATTTGTTCCAAGCTTCATAACAATCCTATTGAATAGGTGCTCTTATTATACTTATCTCATAGATGGGTAGACTGAGGCATGGAGGGGGAAGCAACTTGTTTGAGACCACACAGCTTGCACGTGGCAGAGTCAGGAGTGGAATCCAGGTCATCTGGATCCAGGGGCCACGTGCCTAATACGTATGCTAAACCCCTCAAGTTGGTTTGTGGACACATTCAAAAACCTAAGGCAAAATTTTAGAGATACTGAGGGCAGGAGCTGAAGTAGTCTGGGCCTTGTCTGTAAATCTCAGCCCTATCGAGACTTGGGTAATAGTGACAGCATCCACATACTGAACAGGCTGGTTACCATCTGGTCACCACTCATATGTTATTGTTCCTTGAAAACCCAAAAGTCATTATGGAACAGGTCCTTTTCCCACCTTGACCTTCGAAATCCTTATTGCACATCTGGTAGGAAAGCCAGTCTTCCTTTTCATATCTCTGGAGATTTTTAGGGACTTGATTCCCTCTGTGCCACTTGTGGTTCCATTTCGCTTCTGCAGTTATCTGGGTCCTCTCATCTTCTCCCATTTTGCACTTCTTCCCTAAGCCGAAGAGACCCTCATGGGACACACCTCAGTGTTTTCACCTCCCCTCAGGAGCCAGCAACCAAGACCATGCATGGTGGCAGGAAGTTTAGGGGATGAGGATCGGGGATAATGTTGCAGGGTGACATGAACATGAACTTAAAGTGAACACTAGGAACCCAATTTCTAGAAAAGCCTTCCTGCAGGAGGACTAGCCACTACCTAGACCTTACTGTCGGCATATGGATCAGCTTCTCCTTGGTCTTTTCCCATCCAAGCTCCCCTCACCCCTCATATGTTCTGTTAATTTCTTCTGTAGCTCTTTCTAATATCCAAGGGACATTTAAAATAATTATTTCTTGTATGTTTCTTGTGCAATGAAGAACACTGCAGTGCAAGATCAATGCCCTTGATGACTTTTTACTCTACTGTGTTTTATATTCTTTTCCCAGAAACACACTAGGTGGATATATTGGGGTTACTTTTCCTACCCCAAAAGTACCTTTCCAGGTATATTGTTTTCTTATAAAAAAAGAAGCTATCCATGTTTGAGGAAATGATGCCCCTTTTTAGAGGCAGAGTGGCTGCTGTAGTCAGTTAATAGTATGACTTTCCTTTTTTTTACCTATATTGGAATTGGTTGTTTACATGTTCTTTCCTGATGGATTGTCAGCACCTTAAGGGCATAAGTCCTGTCAGTCACTTCTTTTGATCCTTCTTTGCACTTAACACATACCAAAGGCTCTGTCAATGTTGATTAATTGACAAAACCAAATTGAAATCAGCTCTCCAAGATGGCTGATGGAGATGTAAACCAACATTTATTAATTCTCTACTATGCGCTATTTGTTACTCTTAATATACTTTGCCTTATTTAATTTTCAAAATGATCCGATAAGATCGATCTCTTACATATCAGATTAAACCCTTACATATAAGAGCACTGCAGCTCACAGGCATGGAGAGCTTCCCCAGGACCATAGGATTGTAACTGGGGTCTGTAATAGGTACGTGAGTAAGAAATACAGGAGTCTCCTGGGTTACCTGCCACTAGGAAACTTACCAAAGAACTCCTTGCAAGTCCATCAGCACTCCTGGGTATCTCATCTGCCATGGCCTCCAGCTCTCTGCCATGGGACAGCTGCCCCCTGTCTCCTGTACTCCCACCCAATGTCATCTTCTGGTTCTGCCCATGGTGCTGACGGCTGATTACATCTGTAGGCTCCATCAAGTTTGTGTAAACTGCAAGCTCCCAGGATACTAGGGTGATAGTTTTTGGTTCTGTCTTTCCAGCCTAACCCTTGGTGACCAGGCTGTTATGAGTGGAACACTGGCCCTTTCCCCACTGATGTTATACTCTGAGATATATCACAGACTACAGTGAGAAGGCCTTCTTGGCAACTTTCTGATCACTTAGACAATGGTTATGCTCCAAATAGAACTCATGGTCTTGCTTCCGTCTCAAGTGTAAGGCTCATCTGTCCTTCCCTGTCTCAGTGAAGGGGAACATCATCTGTCTGGTTATGCAAGCCAGAAGTCCCAAATTTACTTTTTACTGTATCCTTCTTCTTATCCCACACTCCCGTCCATCTCTGAAAGCTGACAATTTTACCTCCTCCATGTCTCTCATTTCAATACTTCTCCAGGCTCTATCCTCACCACCACTCTAAGAAATCAGTCTCTTGCCTGGATGACTTCAGTAGCTTCCTGGTTGGTGCCCCCAAATCCACTTGATATACTCTAAACAGTCCTCCACACTGCAGCATGAGAAATCTTTTTAAATGCACAGAGTTGATTTCTGTATAAAACTGTTTAATGAATTTCCACTGCTCTTTGAATAAATATCATGTAGTTTACAAGCTTGTTGAGTCAAGGATAGAGCAGGGAATAACAGGTGAGAAGGAAGGCAAATGGGGAGATCAAAACCCCTGGCCAATACCAGTTTCTCGGTGGATGGATGGTTATGCTACAGGCGAGAAAGAGGAGAATTGAGCAAAGGGATTTGAATTTGTATGTTTGTTTTTAGAACTTAAGGATATTCTGTGATAGATGCTCCTATTCTGTAGGTGTTGCATTGCCTGTGGCAATGGGGAGGATGTTAAGAGGTCCTTGGTCTCAATTTGTGATACTTCTTAATCTTAAAAACCTGTTTCTAAGATCAAGGGCATGGTGGCTCATGCCTGTAATCCCAGCATTTTGGGAGGCTGAGGTGGGCAGATCACCTGAGGTCAAGAGTTTGAAACCAACCTGGCCAACATAGTGAAACCCTGTCTCTACTAAAAACACAAAAGTTAGCTGGGAGTGGCGGCACATGCCTGCAGCCCCAGCTACTCAGGAGGCTGAGGTAGGAGAATTGCTTGAACCCGGGAGGCAGAGGTTTCCATGAGCAGAGATTGTGCCACTACAGTCCAGCGTGGATGGCAAGAGTGAGACTCCGTTTCCGACAACAACAACAAGCCTGTTTGTCATCTCAGTCTACTTGTCTATTATTCATTCTAGATGCTCCTTGTTTACCCCTACCCAGAGACATGATAATAGGTGCTAATATTTACTTAACATTTCGTACGTACTCATCCTTTATATAAATTGCCCTATTTAATGCTCATGACAATTCTGCAGTATGGTTCTTACTTAGCCCATTTTACAGAGGAGGAAAACAGAGACCAGAAACTCAGTAACTTCTGTGGTGATCATACTGTTAGTGAGTGGAGGGAGTAACATTCAAACCCAAGTCTGTGGGACTCCAAGGTATGCAATGTTTCTTCCATGCTAAATAGGCAGCTGATCTCCTCTGCCTCTACTGTTATTCCTGTGTTCTTACCCTGTAGTTACTGATCTCAAGGGGGAGCTCAGGTCCAGGCCCAGGTCTATAGGTTCCATGCACTGCCATTCTGGTGGTTAAAAATTCAGAGCCTGGAGCCAGACACACCTGAGATGCATCCTGTATTAGCTAAGTAAACTTGGACAAGTAGCTCAACTTTTCGGAGCCTGTTTCCTCAAAGAGTTGTGATGGGGATTAAATAAGAAAGTATATTTAAGAATTAAGCAGAGTGTCTGGCCTATAGCAGGTGTTCAGTGAGTGGTTGCTAATGAAGTTATCTGTCCCTTCAATAAGCATTAATGGGGGACACACTATGTGCTAGGTGCAGTACCCACTCCCTGTTCGGAGGTTATGTGCCATGATGAATTAAACTCTGCCCTTCCCTCCTTCCTAGTCTTTGCTGGAGCTTGCGCTGCATATGGAGTGGAGACCTTTCCCTCCCCTGAGACCTGTGGGGAGCTGCTGCTCTTATTTATCATTTAGGAAGCATCTGCTCTTTGGTGAAATATCACCCTCGTGAACAAACACAGTGCGGGTGTTTGACCTTTTTCGATGAGCGTTGGCTTCTTTGCTTACCGCGAGGAATGAAGCAGATTTGAGAAGGAGACATGCGTCAAAGGACCTTTCAAAGAAGTCACCAGATGGGGGCCTGGTACTGACCCTGGGACTGAGGGTGGCAGTCAAGAGGGATTTGAAGCTGCAAATTAATAAACCTGATCCTGTTATTCTGAGAGGCCAAGAAATCTTCTCAATATCTGCAGGTGCAAAATCTGAAAATGAAGTCAGCTTGGCAGATGCCAAGAATGCAAGGCAGGCATCAGCTGCTGGGGCCCTTGCTGTCTTGCTTTGGTCTCCCCCTTGTGCCCTCTGCAGCAGCAGGTGGCATTCATCAGCAGAACCCAGGAGGCACAGCTGGCCAGCCCCTCTCAGGTGAGCCTGCAGATGGCATCAGTGAGTCCTCAGGTTTGCAGTGGCATCGATGAAGTCTCTAAATCTTCCCAGGGCCTGTGACTGGGAGTGGTCCAGGCTGGCAGCTGGGATCACTGGGAGGCACAAAAGCAATTTTGTAAATTAAAAATCACTAGACATGGCACTTGGACAGGAGAGTAAAGTTGCAGTGCTAACCTCACTGCAGAGGGGCTGTGCAACCTTGAGCAAACCGATCCACCTCTCAGGGCCTCACCTTGTTCCTCTGCTCATGGGGCAGGCAATCCCTCCACCTCAGGGTCTTTATAGGGCTCTGCTAAGGAACAGAACATTCATGCAAACTGCTGTTCTAATGTAAGGCACTGTAATTAATTGTCTTCCTTCATTTACAAGCATTTACTGAGACCTACTATGTTCCAAGTTCTTTCTGGAGTTTGGGGGACACAGACACGAACTAAACAAGGTCATTACCTTTGCAGAGCTTAATATTTAGTGAGGTCAGGATTAGGGGGAGGGGTGGGAAGAGTAGAGAGGCAGAGTAGGTGAGACAAAGATAAAGTTGCTCGCACAAAATAGGAGGCACACGGTTTTTGACGCTGTCCCTGTGAGATGATGCTGCAGTGGGTTCAGGACCTGCAGAAGAGGCAGGGCTGGAAACTGGGAACATGGAGAATGAAGCAAGCATGGAGTAGGAAATCGCTGCACATTTACAGCAAATGGGATAAGCCCACAATCTGAGGCGGGAGAATAAATGAGACAGTGGGATCTAAGATTTGAAAAGCAGCTTGTGGCTGGACCATGCACACCGTGGGGACTTTCTTCTGAAGGCAATAGGGAGCCACTGAAGAATTTCAGGCTGTGCTTTGGGGCATGTAATATTGTAACACTTTATAAGCTGTGTTGGGAGGGGCAGTGTGACCGGATGCAGGAAGATTAGGTAAACGGCGATTGCACTAGGGCAGGAGGGCTAGAAATTAATATCTCAGAATCTACCAATTTCTGTGGTCACCTTCATTACCTACCACCAGCCAGGGGTCTGCAAATGGTTGGGCTGGAAATACACCTGGAACATTATTGTGGAGGAAATAAGGAGGCAACAAATAAGAGAGTGGAGACAGCAGGAAATATTTTCAATACCGGAGCTGCTGAAAGGAGTCTGCCTCTCTCATTCCCTTGACCTCTCTTTTTATCTGCCTTATTTTCAGCTGGGATCTGAGATTCTGCAAATGCATCAGGAACAAACAAACACACGAAAATCAATGCAAACTAGACAAAGACCTTTCTGGGCTGAAAAGTAAAGACGGCAGGAGGTCTCCATTAATCCCCTTTCCCATAGGGCGGATGCACAGGGCAGGAGGCAGGGTGCGGTGAGCCATGGTGGAGCAAACTCAGTCCTCTGCCACTCAGTAGTTAGACAACCTCGATCGAATTCATTAACACCTCTGAGTCATCGGTTTCTTGTCTAAAAATGGGGTGGTCATCAGCTCATGATGTGAGTGTTAGAATGCCTTGAGAAAAATATTGCATAATCAGTGCTGACTTCTCTTCACTCTCACTTATGCACCTGATGACCAGTGTTTGCTGTAGCTAAAATACTACCGTAAGAGTATCCTTTTTCTGATCACCTTTAACTCAAGATGGTGATTTTGTTAGGTTACAATTCTCTTGACAGAAGTTGACGGTTTCAGTTGTCCATAGTCATTTATACCTCAGTAGGAACAAGTCTTAATTTACAAGGTGTTCAAGTTGGAGATGTCTGCACCGATGACCCAGAACAACCCAGCTGTTTTAGTACCAGGGACTCTTTAGTCTAGACAGAGGAACAAAGTTTCTCAAAGTCTTAAAATGAGTTAGAGAAAGAACAAGGATCAGAACTCGTGTCTTCTGTCTGCTAATAAATTGCTACCTTTTCAATTATTCATTGTAAAGATTTATTGTTTTATTTATTATTTTGAAACCAGGCATATGCTGGAGCCTGAGATAGGAAAAAGATGGCTGGGAAGAGAAAAACTTAAAGCATGCTACCACCATTTTTCAGGCTTTCTTCTTGCATTTTGGGAACCATGAAGATAGGTATGTCCGATGTAATTGCAGGACTGAAGCCAAGCTCTTCAGTGGAAGAGGAGATGAGATGCTCTGGAGCCCATTGAACAGCTAGTTGAGAGGTGGATGGTGGCAGATGCATGGCTCTGGGCAAATTACGTTATCACTCTAGAGTCAGTGACTTCATCAGTAAAACAGGAACATTCGTATAATCTACACATGCAGGACTCATCAGGCTGTGGCAAAGAGAGCTTGACCGCTCCAAGGCTTCACTGTTAGGGCATTAAGACTTTAGCCCCAGCAGAATCTTCCTCAGCTTGAAGGAGTCCTCAGATTGGGAATGTCCCCTACAGCCTCATAAATTAGCCTGTGTGTGTGTCTGGGTGTGTGTTGCCTCATAAATAAGCGTGTGTGTGTGTGTGTGTGTGTGTTTTGCTGCTGGACCCTGAGTCTCACCACTGTTTCTGCACTGAAACTCCGGTATCTGACCGGTATCTGGGCTGCAGCATCCTGAAAGCCACCGTCCATGTATGCAGGGCAAGGATGTCCTCTTCCCAATTCTTTACCTCACCTTGTCACCTGAACCCCAGAGCCATATTCCTTGTGCCCCAACACTTCATCTAGTCTCTCAGGGATCTGAGTCTGTCCCTCTCCCCACTAATCTTTCAGAAGATGTGGGTGCTGGACACCATGTTACCCTCTGCTGCCTTATCTTTCCCCACCTCCTTAGGTTCTGTCCACACAGATTCCCTCTTTTCCCAGACAATACAAGAAGGTCTCCAGCAGTAGGGTGGTGCTGGAGAGTGTGGCTCAGGAGCCAGGGTTTGAGATTCACCCATGTCTGCCACACACTAGCTTTATGATCTTGAGAAGGCCACGTAACCTCTCTCTGACTCAGCTTCTTCATCTGTAAAAAGGAGATGACAGTGTTACCTGTCTGGTTCTGTTTAAATGAGTGAATAGATCTAGCATGCAGCGAGTGGTCAATACATGTGAGTGATTAGTACATGTATAAACATACAAATATATGCATACATTCTGTGAAGACGTATGCATTTCACTCTACCTACCAGGAACCTCTGAATTTGGCTGTGATTATTTGTTCAATGTCCTATACTCTGCAAGTCTTGGGACAGTATTACCATCTCTTGTAGGTGGATATATAACTAGTAGGCTGAAGGACTCGTCTTAGCACTGGGCAGTGAGGCATTTAGCTATTTCCCAATGGTTATGAGCTAAGCTCAGGAAGAGGGGTGCAATGTTCTGGCAGAGGAAAGTCCAGGAATCATGTCTTTGGTTGACTTTCCTGGAAAGTAGATGCTGGGAGAGATTAGCTTGCAGAATGTTCACTTGTAAATGCTATTGGGAAGGCAAAAGGAGCAGGCAAAGGGAGAAGCTGAAGTGTGTTGCAGGCCCAATGAAAGTCTCAGCTGATCCACAGAGCACTCTGGATCTTGGTGGCCCGTTAGAGTTCTCCTGAGGTAGGCTAAGGTAAATAGGCCTTCCTTCCCCATAGTCATTGGATGCAGACTGTGCCTGGGAAGGAGTCATGATCTAGGACAAGACAGGCCCTCTTCAGCAGAGTCCTTCGGCTAACAGGAGTCCTTCAGCCTACTAGTTATACATTCACTGACAAGAGATGGCAATATTGTCCCAAGACTTGCAGAGTATAGGACATTGAACAAATAATCAGAGCCAAATTCAGAGGTTCTTGGTAGGTAGAGTGAAATGCACATTTCTTCAGCAGAAGGCAGTTTCAGAAAGAACTGCCAGCTGAGTGCCATCTTCCAACAACACGTCCAGCAGCTGATGGAATAAGTCCTTCCTTCCTGAGGAGGATCGGTGTGGCTCAGCATGGTCCTCATGACAGACCAGGACAAAGAAATAACAACGGGGCCATATCTGGGGCCTCTTACTAACCATCCTTGCAAGTAGACTAGAGTCAAATTCCTCAGCAGGGCATATGCTTATCTTTATCACCGACTTTGGCCTCTTCATATCCTGCTACATCATCCTTCTTCCTTAGGCACTCAATCCTTCGCCCTCCAGGAACTTCTTATGGATCCCATCATGTCCTTCCCTCCTTCGGTGCATTGCATGTGTTGCTCCCTCTTTCTGGAATGCCCTTCTATCTCTTCTTTTCATTACTTGGGAAACATCGTCATTCTTCTGGATCCAGATCAAATATTACCTCTTCTTGCATTCCATCCCATTTTGTATGTATCTTTAACATTCATTCATTCGATCATTCAACATATGGTTGCTGTAGAACTAGAATGTGCCAGGCTGTAAACTACCACTTCCCACAGTCCTGCTAGTAAAGGCAAGGACCGTGTTTGATTCATCTTCGTGTTGTGAACATCTAGCCTAATGCCTATCACAGAATAGGGGCTTTTAAATTCTTGTCTAATAAAAGAAAGGCAGTGGATTCAGAGTTAGGTCATATGAGCCCCCAGAGTCCTTTTCCAGCTAGAATCACATGTAGATTTGCAATTCTTAGGCTGACTGGGGATCTGGGGAATCATGCTTCATGTGACATTTTTGAGCACCTCCTAAGTTCCAGGCACTGTGCAAAGCCCTGGAGATGCAGCGATGTCCCTGATCTCAGAGGGTTTAGATTTTGATAGGACACAGACATGTTCATGCATACAGTATCACCTGAGTACCTGATGGGATGTGTTCAGTGCCTAAGGAGGGGGCAGAGAGAATGCCTGTGATCTGGGGGAAGGGCAAAGCCACAACCTCCTGGTGAAGGAGG